AGGCAAGAGGAAATGAAGAGTATGATTTCTGAATTGAAGAACACAGTAGAAGAAATCAAAAGCAGGCTAGATGAAGCATAGGATTGAATCAGTGAGCTAGAGGATGAGGTAGAAAAAAGCTCCCAGAAAGAGCAAGAAAATGAAAAAAAGACTCAAAAAGAACGAAGAGGCATTCAGGGAAATGCAGGACAACCTGAAATGTAATAATATCCGTATAATAGGATATCAGAAGGAAAAGAGGGGAAAAAAGGGGTAGAGAACCTATTTGAAGAAGTAATGATGGAAAACTTCTCTAATTTGAGGAGAAAAGACACACAAGTCCAGGAAACACAGAGAGTCCCATTCAAGAGGAACCCAATGAGGCCCACTCCAAGACACATCATCATTAAAATGGCAAATATCAAAGACAAACAGAAAAATCCTAAAGGCAGCAAGGGAGAAACAGGTAGTAACATATAAGGGACACTCCACACAGCTAGCAACTGACTTCTCAACAGAAACACTACAAGCCAGAAAGGAATGGCAAGAAATATTTCCAGTAATGAAAAGCAAAGGCCTGCAACCAAGACTGCTCTATCCAGCAAGGCTCTCAATTAAAATGGAAGGCGAAATAAGGAGTTTCCCAGACCAAAGAAGGCTAAAATACACCACCACCGAACCAGCACTGCAAGATATGCTAAAGGGACTGCTTTAAGAAGATGATGAAAAGAGTCTATGAATACTCAGTTCCTTTCACAGTCACCAATACTCGATATTACCAATATTTTTAATACTTATTAATCTGATTGTGACAATGATGTTATTTTTCATTGTTACTTGATTATTTGTTGAAACTAAACTTGTTTCTGTATATGTCTTGCCTCTATTATTTTTTAAAAGCTTTAAATGACTTTTTGGTATTCTTTATCCATTTTTTGACACAACGTTTGTACAACTTTTTCTCTAAAACAAACAAACAAACAAAAAACCCTATTAACCCATTTTTAGATTGTGGCAAATACTTGCCTAATTCTATTACTTGTCCTTTAACATTTTTTATATGTATATTACTGTATAGTCTTAAATGTTTAATATAGTCATATTTTCAATATTTTACTTTATAGCTTCTGAGTTTGAATATTTTACTTCAGAGTAAGAAAAATATTATTTTGTATTTTCTTCTAAAAATCCTTAGATTTTACATTTTTGAGTTTCAACTCATCTTAACTTTTTTTTGTATAAGGTGTGAAATAAGACTCTATATTTGTTTTATTTCAAGTAGTAGTGGTCCATGCACCTTATTTGTTGAGTAAGTCTTATTTTCCCCATTGATTTGAAATACCAATTTAATCATATATTACATTGTTAGAAAGATATATCTGTTTGTTTCTAGAATGCTCATTTTATTTCATTGATCTACTTGATTCTGTGCTGGTGTCACGTTGTTTTAATTGCTCAGACTTTATAATGGATTTAAATTTTTAAGTATTTTATAATGGATTTTGACATTTAACAAAATAAATAAATAACATCAACCTGCAGTTGAAAAAAGAAAAAAAACACATCCAAGTTAAACAAAGAAAATACAATTATCAGTTCAGTTAATCCTAGTTAATTGACTGATGATTCATCGATAAGCTGACCTCATGCTACTTGATGATTTCTAAGGTGTCTTTCAATTTAAGTTTTTATGAGTCTATTACTACAATAATGCTATTTCAAGTGTTTCAGTAAAACAAAGAGGAATTTTGAGTAGAAAACAATCAGAATCTCATCCCACCATACTTTAAGAATATACTTGTGACTTTAATAAACATTCAGCTCAGGATATTAAAAGAGATTTTTAACACAGAACATTTCTTGTGAAACACAGGAGACCATAAAGGTCAATATTATTATCACAAATCAACTAGAAATCCTTAAATATAATTTGCAGTTGCTTTTGCAGGTGACAAGAATACCATAGAGGAGAACTGAAAAATATATTTTAATGTTCTTATAACACTTTTGTAAACACAAAAATACAGTAATACTATCTGAAAACAGAGCAGCAATACACATTACAAATTATTGCTTTGAATAAAATATAAAACTATATAAAACTAAGTACTGTACTTATGCCTTTTAATATATCAGAAAGAAAAGTCTCTGGGCTTTTAGAGATCTAAAACATTTTTCGTCAACTAATAATTAACCTAGATCATCATATTGCCTAAAATTAAAAAAAATCCTCACCCAAGGACGTTTACTGATTTCAGAGACAGTGGAAGGGGCGGGGGGAGAGAGAGAGAAACATTAATCAGCTGCTGTCCACAAATGCCCCCACTAGGGATCAAACCCACAACCTAGGTATGTGCCCTGACCAGGGAGCAAATCCACCACCTTTTGGTTGCATGGGATGATACTCCAAACAACTGAGCCACCCAGCCAAGGCACATTCCCTAACTTTTAGCAAATAATGTAAATAGAATTTGTATGTCTTACACATATGATTTTTGAATCTGTCGATGCTATAAAAGTCAAATTTTCATATAGCACTGAATTGTTGCATAATACTTTTAACCATGTTCTTCTAAATCCTAAGGAGGCCAAGGGTATACTTTGAAATGGTTTATCACAAGTGTGATATTTACTGAGTATTTAATGTTTTATCTCAAACATTTACAATAATATTGTATTTTACCCATAACATATTCACACTTGGTTTTTTAAAAAAAATAATGATTTAAACCCTTACTAGGCAAAGTGTGGTTACTTGACCAGAAGCATAAATATCCTGTAAAAGGGCTGGTTAAAAATGCAGCATCTCAGGCCCTACCCCAGAGCTACTGAGTAAGAACTGGCTTTTTAATATGATACCCACATAAATTGTAGACATATTTAAAACACTGTTCTTAAACATACCCTTCCTCAAATGCATCTCTTCAGCTAGTTTTGGTTCTAACTGTATTCTTTCTCTATTCATTTCCCATTTGCTTCAACAAATATTGGCAACTCCACTACTTTTCCTCTCCTTTTTCCCCTAACCCCTACACATTCCACTGACTCTGTTCTTTCTTCTAATTTTAATTTTCATACAGGCTGCCTGTTTGTCCCTCTATTTCTCATTCTGACAGAGTTTCTTCAACACTTTCAAATTTGAGCAGTTAGAGAATCTTTGAAGTCTCTCTTCTTCCAGAACATTCCAATACAAACCAAAAATGCTTTTTCCAAAGTAATATTTAAAGTCTGAAATTTCCAGATTTTCTCCATTTTCTTTATGACCCTTTTCCCACTCATTTCTAAGTCAGGTACAATAGCTTATTCATTCAGGTTCTTTTTTGAGGATTAGCTTTCTATTCTTAAATGTCATGACAATAATAAGAAGTAGCATTTTAGTGAACAAACCCAACTTCACTTGGGCAGATTCTGATAGATAATATATTATGAATAATAATTACAAAATTATTTAAGTGATCATTCACATGGAAATACTGCTATGGTGCTTGTAAAACTATTACTCAAATCATTTACATTCATATTTTTTCTCATTAAATAATGTAATTTTCAAACAAGACAGAATAATTTTAACATGTGACAACTTTCAAAAACTGTTTAAGTAATATAACTTAATTGCTACAGAAAAAAACTCATGAAAAACACAAAGAATAGTAAGTATGCAGTACTGCAATAACTTAGTGAGGACTTCAACAGCAAAAAATAGATCTGGTCAGAAACGAAGGATACACTAACTGAAATAAAGGATAATTTACAACAGTTTGGAACATTAAAAAAAACAAAAAACAATCATTCAGAACAACAAGAAGGAAAAGGAATAAAAATAAAATGAGGATAATATAAGCAGCCTCTGGGACAACTTCAAGCACTGCAACATTTGTCTCATGGGGTGCCAGAAGGAGAAGAGAATGAGCAAGAAACTGGAAATCTATTTGAAAAAATAATGAAAGAATACTTCCCTAATTTGGTGAAGGAAATAGACATGCAATAAACTAATTTGTAGGGAAAGCACAGAGAGTCCCATACAAGATGGATACAAAGAGGCCCACTCCAACACACACCGTAATTAAAATGCCAAAGGTTAAAGATAAAGAGAAAATCTTAAAAGCAGCAAGAGAAGTTAGTTACCTACAGGGGAGTTCCCAGAAGACTACCCGCTGATTTCTGAAAAGAAACTTTGCAGGCTAGATGGGATTGGCAAGAAATATTCAAAGTCATGAAAAACAAGGAGCATTTTGATGGTTGCCAGATCCAAGTGTGGAGGAATGGGTGAAGAGGTGAGAGGATTAAGAAGTACAAATAGGCAGTTACAGAATAGCCACAGGACTGTAAAGTACAGTATAGGAAATGAAGTAGGGAGAGAACTTATAGGCATGACCCATGGACATGAACAATGGTGGGGGAATTGACTGAGGAAGTGGGAGGGTGCTGGGTGGAGGGGGCAAAGAGGGAAAAATCAGGACAACTGTAACAGCATAATCAATAAAATATAATTTAAAAAAGAAAAATATCAGTTTGAGATAGTATAGAGACTTGGGCCCATGAACAAAAAAATCACTACACTGGGTGGACAGAAAGCCAAGTTAAGACCAGGCAACCAGACTGTCACCAACTATCCACTCCCTGCAAAAAAAAAAAAAAAAAAAAAAAAAGGCAGAATTTTATCTCCCATCTGCTTAATTTTCCTAAACTGACATGAAAAATTTCAAAAGCCCACTTTTTTCATATAGCTTGTCTTTCTGTGCAAGGTTACTTTGTCCCCAGCTTATAAAAGCAGTCAGGCAGAGCCAATACCTACCCATGCACACAGGTAGTTCAGAGGACCTTCTTTTCTTTTGTGTCATCTGCCTTTTGTTCACGCATAAGCTTAATAAAACATGTCCGAAAATTGTTTCCTCTCAATTCTATCTTGGGGTTCTATTCCACCAGAACCCCAATGCCGGTATAAATTAATTATAATGTATGACGATTTTATTTAATATGTAATCTAAAATACATACAAAATACTTATGTTAAAAATTTACCTCACTTTCAAGAAAGAAAAGAACCAGCATCCTAATGAGATTGCCATTCGGACTGTTCCTTCCCCTTCTCTTTGCTAATGCTTCTTCTGCTTGTGGGTCATGTCGGCTAAATAGCCTGGAAATAAGTAAAAAAACAAGATAATTACAAATTTATATGGATATGAACTTCAGTTTTTTTCTTCAATGTACAAAATATTTCAGTGCTAAAAAATATATCAGGGATCAGGTTACTGATACACTTCAACATGGGTATGCAACTGATGTTTTTATAGATAAAAGTTTAGATCTGAACCATTTCATACAATCTGATCATATATAAAGTATATAAAAGGAAAATTTTTTACTGATGACTAATCAATGTTAAAATACTTATGAAAAAATGTAAACTATTTTTATTATATGAAAGGTACTATAATTTTAGAGAGTATATAATTTTAAAGAGTTCTATTTCCTCGCATATTGATTTCAGTCAAGAAATTGTAGTATTTAGTCAAATGTTCCAGCAATAATATAAAAATTCATACTTTCAATCATGACTACTTCTTGTATACTTCTGTACTTATTAGCCTATTACCTAAAAACAGTACTCACTAGCTCAATAGTATTGAGTAAAATGACATAAACATTAAATTTATTAAAATACCACTTAGCGACAAAACTTCTAAAATATGGCAAAGAAATGACCTGAAAATTTTTATTTGCTAAAACGATTTATTCTAATACAATTTAAAGACTGCTAAAGGTGCCTTATTACCAGGTTTTGCTCCAGGTAAAAGAAATATAACGGTGAACAAAGACAAAATTGCTGTTTTCACTGAGCTCTCACTCTGGTGGTTGAAGATAAACAGTAGATAAATATATAATATCTTAGTTGGTATAAGGAAAAACAAGGAACTAGGGATGAAGATATAGAATGTGTTAATTTAGATATGGACATCACAATGGGTCTATCAGATGAGAGGCTAAATAAGTGAATAAGGAAAGAATAATTTCATGTGTCATAAAAATAAGCCAATCTTAAGCAGAAAATGAGTACAGAGAAGCTGAGTATTTGTGGAGGAAGGAGAAAGTGTATAGCAAGGGGAGACTAAAGTATTATCTTTCATTTTAATGCTCACCTAAGGGTAAATTTTTTATTAGATTTATTAGATTTAGAGGTGGGGGAGGTGGGGGGGAGAGAGGGAGAGAGAGAGAGAGAGAACATCGATTGTTTGGTTGGCTCCTGTATGTGCCCCAACCAAGGGTTGAACCAAAAACCAGGAAGAGCTAGAGTATTATTCTTTCCCGCCGCAAGTTTTAATGAGTGGCAGCACTGCATCACATGCTCCAGTTCAGGATGAGAATTTTCTAATAAACCTTTCTGATATGAAAATTCTTCCTTTTCATCACCCAAATGTCCACCCTAAGTAGAGGGAAGTAAAGACGGGATGGACTCTAAGTTTCTTGGGGGAACTTGAAGTCCCTGTGTTGCCTCTTTGCAAGGAGATAGGGCAGGGAGAGTAAATTCTAGCACGCAAGGAAGGACTAAAGCAATAAACACACTGCTCCATCCTTGCTGTGAGGCCTACCTGCCCTTAGAAAAGAACTACATACTTCAACACAGGTAGGTTTCATGAGCAGTGGCTCACGCTGCCTCTTGCAGCAGAGCCCTGGGCTCCTCTGGAGCCTCCCCTCCCCACCACCAGCGGTAGTGGGCCAGGGTGTGGTTGGCCTCAGCCACCTTGTGCATTTCATGCTTCCTTTTGATCACGGGGCCCTGCTTGTGGAAAGCCTCCAGCAGCTCATGCAACAGCTTCTCTGGCATCAGCATCCACCTGTGCTTCTCCCTACACTTAGTAATCATCCACTTCATGGCCAGGAAGCAGCGACGCTGGTCAGATAGCAGCAGGGACTTGGTAGAAATGATCACCCTTGAGGATGGGTCCAGCCCAATCACAGGCTCACAGTTATTCAGTGCTTGGTGGAAGATGGTGTAGGGGTTGTGTTCAATAGTTGTCTGTTCCTCTGAAGAAGCAGCATGGTACTTCTCAAACTGCTTTCTTTTCACAGTTTCCAGAGTCTTTGTCATGTGGGATCTGGCCAGTACTTTCCTCCTTTCATCATCATGTTGGTGAATTTACCGATCCAATGGGTCTTGAAACACAGAGCTTGTTTTCATTGCTGGGGCAGCTTTGATAAGCTGAGTCTTTCTAAGCTCCTGCTAGAATTTCTGTTAGTCAGGTCTGCCAAGGGCTTTCAGTAATATTCCTTGTCAATCTGGGGATCCCTGTATTCTGGACCATAGTGGCTCCACCTCACCTGGATTAGCCCTGGAAGCCGCAGAATAGCACTGCGTACACCCAGTGCTAGGTCAGACCACCCTCGCACTCTACAGTACTACCTAGAAGAATATTGGCATAAGTAGACCGGCTTAAGAGAAAGTTTTCTTTATTTGGGTGGCTTTCAGAAGAGGAACAAATGGAAAATACGAGGGTCCTTTATAAATAAAATGTACAAGTTTGGATAATTGCATTCATTGTAAGTAAACATAAGGTACTAAGGAGTCAGCTTAATAGTTCAAATATTAAAGTATATAATATTTGATGACATATTAACATACTCATTTCAGCCAAATTTTAGTATTTTTTTGATACCTGGTGAAGATCATCAACTAGACTACAAAACAACCATTAGTGTATGTGCATGTATGCATTTTTAAAACAAAACTTAATCATCTAATTCCAGGGGCTACTCTATAGCTTACTTGTTAACATTTTTAAAAACCAGAACATTAAATCAAGGGAGACTGTCCAAAAAGATCATTAAGGACTTCCAGTCAACATGGCAGCATAGGCATAAATGGCTCGCCTCTTTGCACAACCACATCAAAATTACAACTAAAATATAGAACCACCATCACTCAGAACTGTCAGAAATCAAATTGAATAGAAGTCTGACAACTACAGAATTAAACCACATCAATCTAGACTGCCAGGAAGGGCACAGATGTGGAACACACTGGTCCCTCACCCATGTGAGTGGATAAAAATTTGGGAGACATGTCTCAGGAGCTATGAGTCCCAGCCCCACATCAGGCACTTTCCAGTGCCAGGAAGTTAAGTCCCCACAACTTCTGGCTGTAAAAACCAGTGGGGATCGAGTCGGTGGAAGAAACTGCTAGAGCCCCATGCAGTTCCTCTTAAAGAACCCACACTTGGACTCACCTACTCAGGCTCATTTCCTCTGAGCTCCAGCACTGGGATAGCAGCTTGAAAAGCACCACAAGCAAAAAGGGAGGCACTGAAGTGTCTGGCATCAAGGCAAGCAGAGGCTACTGTCCCTTTTCTAAACCCTCCCCTCAGAGCTAGCAAGCTGGTCCTATAGCTGAGACTCCATCAACCTGGTTAACACTGTTTGACCCACCTTGGAGATCCCCAGACCCTGCCCCACCTAACTTACAGATTCCCCAAGCTGCTTTTCTGAAAGAATGCCTGGTCTTGGCTCATGCTTCAAAACTTAAAACTTACTAAATCTTCTCAGAGAAGCAGTAACAGGCCTCAATGAGCCCAGGCCAGGCATTAGTAGCAGCAAGCTGAAATTCACAGCCTGGCTTTGCAGGGTAATCTCCAAGCCCAGCACAAGTAGCGGCCGTCTCAGGTTGCTTTATAGCTTATGCAAGGTCACCCTGGGCAAAACACTGGTGGGGGATGACCATGGCCTGCACCACCTAGGAAACCCCAGGGCCAGCGCACCCAGGGGACAGCTACAGACAACATCAGAGCACCGCCTTCCTGCCCGTGCATAGCTGATCTCCTACGGAGGGCAGAGAGGTTGGTGGTCAGTGGTCACAGCTAGTCCTTGAAGCTGATTGGCCTGGGCAAATTTCACTCATAAACCTGCCAACAGCAACCAAGGCTCAACTACAAGAGGAGGGTGTACTTAACTCACTTGAAGGGCCCACCTTGAGTACCCAGCTTGGGTGATAAGGGAGGCTGTGCTGCTGGACCCCACAGGACACCTAATACATTAGGCCACATTACCAAGACATGGAGTCAAAGCAGCTCTACCTAATACAGAGAAACAAACACAAGGAGGTTGCTAAAATGTGGAGACAAAGAAACAGGTCAAAACTCCAGAAAAAGAGCTGAAGGAAATGGAGATAAACAATCTATCAGATACAGAGTTCAAAACACTGGTTATTAGGATGCTCAAGGTAATTAGTGAGGACTTCAACAGCAAAAAAAGCACATCCAGCCAGAAATGAAGGGTATGCTAATTGAAATAAAGGACAATTTACAGGGAAACAAAAGTAAGAGTGGATGAAGCTGAGAATCAAATCAATGATTTGGAACATAAGGAAGCAAAAACAACTCAACAACAACTCAACAACTCAAAGACAATCCAGAACATTAAGAAAATGGAATAAAAAAAAAATGAGGCTAGTGTAAGTAGCCTCTGGGACAATTTCAAGAGGTCAAACATTCACATCATAGGGGTTCCAGAAGGAGAAGAGAATGAGCAAGAAACTGGAAATCTATTTGAAAAAATAATGAAAGAAAATTCTCTTAGTTTGAGGAAGGAAAGAGACATGCAAGTCCAGGAAGCACAGAGAGTCCCATACAAGATGGATACAAAGAGGCCCACTCCAACACACACCGTAATTAAAATGCCAAAGGTTAAAGATAAAGAGAAAATCTTAAAAGCAGCAAGAGAAAAGAAGTTAGTTACCTACAGGGGAGTTCCCAAAAGACTACCCGCTGATTTCTGAAAAGAAACTTTGCAGGCTAGATGGGATTGGCAAGAAATATTCAAAGTCATGAAAAACAAGGAGCGTTTTGATGGTTGCCAGATCCAAATGTGGAGGAATGGGTGAAGAGGTGAGAGGATTAAGAAGAACAAATAGGCAGTTACAGAATAGCCACAGGACTGTAAAGTACAGTATAGGAAATGAAGTAGGGAGAGAACTTATAGGCATGACCCATGGACATGAACAATGGTGGGGGAATTGACTGAGGAAGTGGGAGGGTGCTGGGTAGAGGGGGCAAAGAGGGAAAAATCAGGACAACTGTAATAGCATAATCAGTCTAATATAATTTAAAATTTAAAAAAAAAGATCATTAAGAATCAAAAGTTCTCAAAGTGTGAGGATCTCCAGGACAGAGGCATAAAACAAGCTTATAAAGTGAAGCTTTTATCCAAATAGGGATTGGAGTCATTTTCACAAAGAAATGAAAATAATGGAGGCTTTACATGTGGATTTTATGTAAAATATTCCATTTAAAAATTTTAGCAAGTATTTTCATACTTACAAAAATGCAATACAGATAAAAGGCTCTTTCTGACTCAAGTGCTGCCGGTTTATGGACTCTATACTATAGAGAACAACCTTTTTTAGTCAATTTTTTTTTGAAAATACAGAAACAATAAAGCTTTTCTAAATACACAAAGCCTTTTGAAAAGTAAGTACAGAATGGAAACTAAGGGGAATATAACAGTCCTGGAAAACAAAGTTAAAACTTCTGTATACCCTTAATATTTATGACAAAGCATACCTCAAGATAAATATGGAAACAGCACTATATTAGCCCTAGATGTCAGAGTCACTGGCAAATTCAATGTGTTAATTTAAAAGTCATGCCTGAAAATCTTGACTTTCTTTCCCACTTTAATTACCACCACATACTAGTAGCTAGCTTCCGTCTTAAACATGAAATTTTTTCACAAAGACGCAACTTTGAGAGGTACCACTGAGTAGAGAACAGTTTTTTATTGCAGCACTAAGATCCACATGCTGGATGGAGGCCTTCTCATTATCAAAATTAATCATCCATCTACAACAGTTGTCTAGTGCCTGATTTATATCACATATTAATCACAAATTACAATATGTCCTAGAATTTTGGGTTCACCAGCCAATCATCTCCAACTATATTAAATCTATAAATTAAAAAACAAAAATAAAACACAGAAAAACATGTTTATATTTTAAGAATGAACTAGCCTACTGATAAATTGTATAGTAGATACATATACAGACCACGATCAAAAATATGTTTCAAAAGAATATTTAATTATATTCATAAACTCTCATTAGCTCTGTGTTTTGTCAAAAGTAGACGAGGTTTTGCATTTTAATTAAAGTGCAACAGTACATATAATTTTTGGCATCGCTATGGATTAGTGATTAAAATAATCCTCATCTCAATAGAAAGGAGGGGGAAAGAAAAGGATGAAAAGCTGGGCATTTTCAAGGTGATTTTTAGATTTATAAATGTTGAGAAGTAAGATGAGAACTCAGAATTTTAAAATGAAAAAGACACTGATAAAATAAAATACCAATTACCAGGGGGAGATTTTCTACACTTCATGTCATTTCCCCAATCTCTAATCACCCCTAGAGGGGAACCATCCTTCTAAATTTCAGGGAAAAGGGTTATGTCAGAAAGAACATTGTTCCCAGGGACGTGATTCATGATGTACACAAAGTCTGTGAGGATATTATATTCCTTAAAATTTGAAATGGTCAATTCTAGCATTGTTTTCAGTTACCACTACTCTTCTACAGACTCTAAAATAACAACAAAACAAAACATAGAAGTAGAACCTGGTTTCAAAGATAACTAACTCACTTTTTGTGAAGGAATTCTCCAGCTGCCACAGCAACAGGGCGATGTGCTGAGTACACCAAATGGTAAACATTTTCACAGTCTTCATTGGAAAGAGCTTCTTCACTTCCACTGAAAAATTCAGAAAGTAACATCTGAGTCAAAACAGATGTTTATTTTCAGTTCTAACTTTTATAAAGTTCATTATAAAAGCTCAAGGCATACTGATTTTATTTTCATCTTTTAATTCTACTTTGAAAGTAGTATTTCTCATATCATTATATAAATTCAGAAAATACAGGTAAAAGAAAACAAATTATCCACAGTTCTTCTCACACATACCCATAAAGAATGAATTTAATGTCTTAGAATATATATTAGCTAAAATTAGCTCTAGTTCTTGAATTGTGCATGAGATTTTTGTTGATAGGTACTAGAACTACATTTGTCCTTGTTTCATAAAGTTAAATTATTATTATGCTATGTAATGCTTCTCTCCATAACTATTTAAAAATGTTTTGTCACTATATTTACAATACAATTTAGTCTTCTTTTTAATTAATGTTTTTCATCCTCACCTGAGGATATGCTTAGAGAAGGGAATGGAGGGAGAGACAAAGGGAGAGAAACACTGATTTGAGAGAGAAACATCAGCTGGTTGCCTCACCTATGAGCCCTGACCAGGGACCCAACCTGACACCAAGGAATGTGCCCTAACCAGTAATTGAACCTGCGACCTTTCTATTTATTGGACAACTAACCAACTAAGCTAACTGGCCAGGGTTAATCTTTTTAAATAAAACTGATTCAGTAGTCACAATCAATTCTTTACCAACAGAAATTCCCTACCTTTCCATTCATGTATTCTTACAGTTTGAGCCATTTCTTTTTTTTTAAATGTGTCCTTCAGTATTTTTTTTCCAAAGAAGGAAAACCTATTTCCTGACTATTCACATCCTTAAAAATGTCTGATGTTAGTGTAGATTAGCAATGACTAAATGAAGTATAGAATTCTTGTCTGTACAGGTTCTTGACAACATGTAGAGGTATAAGCTCATTCCCCAAAATTCAATCCTGGAGATGCCTTAGAAGCTAGAAGGAAGCGGAGGTATCTGTCAAATATACATAAAATTAGAGTGACTTTTGCACATGCCCAACTTATACCCCTAAATTGTAAAGGTGGGCACAAGGCTAGGGCCTAAGTTTTAACCCCTTCACCCAATTATATATCATCAGCTCAATTAGCTAATTCCCTCAGGAGAAAGTTAAACTTGTAGGAATAAAATTTTAATAAGACACCTCAGGACCTAAGCTCATAAATGAGAGAAAAATAAATCTATTCAAAAGAAGAAGAATTAACAAATAAACAGAAAATGAATTTAAAAAAAGTATGAGAGTATGTTAAATTTGACTTTACCTGTTATTTTGGGAAGTAGATATCCCATAAGCCAAGAAAAATAAGGCCAGATTATTTCATGTAAATGATGTAAGAGATTGAAAAGCTGGTTTTGTGTTTCTCAGCTCATTACTTACAAAAATACTATATAAACAGAAATTAGAGGACTGAACATTTTAATGGGTAGAGTGGATCTCTTTCAAGAAAAAGTTGTCAGAGTGTTGTGGTACACTGAAACCTTCTTCTTCCCAAGCCAAACTGAAGCATAAAGTTTCATAGAGTCACTATGAAACATTTATAAACATTCCTAACAGCTGTGAGGAAGTTTAGGAAATGGTACTTTGTGCAGGGCTTAAAAAGGTCTAAATATGAAAAGCTGACTGGAGCAACTCATCCTAGTAGATTAAGAAGACAGGGTTACAACAGAGTTGTACTTCCTCTATCCTTAAGTGGTCCATGTTTCCTGTAGGCCGGATAGGGAGAGCCTGAATAGTTTGAAAAGACTTTGCCCAACAAGACTACTTATAGGGCAAGCAACTCCAACAGAGGAAACCTGAGAGCTAGGGGCTGAATTACAAAGTAAATAAGTCAGAGCAGGCATTGACCACTCTGGAAACTGTAGTTGTAAATATCTCAAGGGGCAAAGGTTCTCTAAGGAATACACAAAAGGGCTGATGTACCTAATGGATTAGGATACCAAAGAGAGCCGGAGAGCTATAACTGTACCTTTTAAATAAGACATGTTCTGCCCTTACCTCTTCCAATGAAAATGAAGAAAAGTGCTTTTAAAAAGGACTTTTGAAACCAGCAAAAACTTTCTACATTCAGGACGAAAGAAAGATATTTTTGGTTAAACATGATCTCAGAGGGTTTGAAAACACTCTTAATGGAAGTAAACTAACAGAAAAAAATCTTGAGAGCGTTTACTCCTGTCTAAACAGGTGAGTATTGGAACTACATAAGCAAGGAAATGGAAAAAATGTATATCCTTAACATTATAAATTCCAGACCAGATATTTTCAACCTGCGTGCCACAAGATGCAAAATGTTGTGCTGCAAGAATTTTTAAAATGTGCAAGACTTCAATATTTTGTCAAGGGCACTGACCTCTTTTCCCTTAGACTGTCAAATAGAAAAATGACAATTACCAACACAATAGCCATCAGGTGTGAATGAATAAAAATTATACCCATTTTTTTTGGTAAGAATGGCAAAATATATAGTTTTTGGTATGCTGCAGAATTTCAGGAAATTAGTTTATGTGTGCTATGAGATGAAAAAGGAATAAAACTGTTGGTTAAGAGGACAAGCAAAAGTTGGGACTGTTAAAATACATTTCTGGGCCCAAGATGGAGTCTGTTGGGCCTAGAGTCTGCCCAGGGTGCCACATCATCAAACTAAAACTTATACAACTTTTGTGTCCTTGTAAATGTTCCGCCTGACCAGAAACACAGTATATTCAGCCAGCCAATTCCCAAAGGCCAACCCAACTCTGGGCCTTCTCACCCCAAACAAGATTGACTATGTGGCCCCAGTCAATCAGATATTTTCTATTTGTCACTGCCTTTTCTTTTATTCTTGTCCTATTGAAAAAGGTTGAAAATCACTGTTCTAGGCAATTCCAGTGAAACAGGTACGTGGGTAGAACATCATGATACATTTTTGTTCAAGGAAAGATATTGATAAGCTACTGATAAGATTATACAATTTACAAATACAATATAACTAGGGGCCCTATTATTTTACAATAGATTTGGAAGGGGAAAAATTCTTCATAAATGGTAAGGAAGAATTATATGTAACAATAAAATGAAAACGATCAGAAGGTATAAAAATCATGAACATACAGGTCCCTATATATATACTATGAAGTATAATAAGCAACAACTTTAACAACAGTACTTAAGAGACATTAACATATCCCTCTAAAAATAAGCAAAGATATAGATAATTTGAATGACATGGGAAATAAGATAATTCATAAATAATAGAAGAGTAAAATGTGTTTTGCTTACTGACCACTATAAACCTACTTTTGCCTTACCCTGTAGGCATATGTTTTTCTTAGAAAATTAACTAAACCACTCAGAACACATTCTCAGATAAAACAATAAAATAGAAAGGACAGCTTTAAAAAACTGATATACATATACCTGTGTACAACAAAAACAATACTGAAATCTATGACTAAAATGGAAATTATAAAGGTAATCAAAACATTAATAAATGTCTATGAAAATAGTCTATGTCCAATTTTTCAGGAGATCAATAATGTAATACTTAAAGATATATACATTATTCTACTTTAAATATGATTATTAAAAACCAGGAAACAAATGAGCCATAAAACCACTAGTTCTTTGAAAATAGTAGTAAGATGGGCAAACCTCTGGCATGAATGATCATGAAAAAGGAGGATACAAGTAAAAAGGATTAAAAAGAGCAACTGAGTCAAGATAAACACGGCTTCCATCCTTGTGCAACCACATTAAAATTACAACAAAAATACAGAACCACCATCACTCCAAACTACAAGAATATGAGTTGAACGGAAGCCTGAAAACTACAGAATAAATCACATTCATCCAGACTTGTAGGTGGGGCAGAGATGTGAAATGACCTGGCCCTACATCCACATGTGGTGGATAAAAACTTGGGAAGGATACCTTGGGAGTGAGGTGTTCCTGACACACACCAGGCCCCCAAGCCCAGGGTTCCAAAGATAGGTAGATGAGTCCCCATAACTTCTATCGGCAAAAACAGTGGGGATTGAGTAGGTGGAAGAAACTTCTGGAGTCTCAAGCAGTTTCCCTTAAAAGAACCCACACATGACCTTACTTAGACTCACTCTCTCTGAGCTCCAGCAATAGAGTTGCAGCTTAAAAGACACAAGTGACATAGAGGGAGGAACTGAAGTGTCTGACATCAAGGTGGGAGCCTGGGGACAACCTCAAACAGAGAGCTGGGCAGACGCCACTGTCCTTTTTCTGAGCCCTCCCTTCAGAGAGCTATAGATAGAGCCAGTTAGGCAGGTGCCATATCTGAGACTCCATCAATTGGCCCTGCCCTGGAGATCCCCTGAAGCTCCATCCCTCCCAAACTATGGGTCCACCCAAACTATTAACCGTGACTTTTCCATATGAATGGCTGGTCTTGGTTCATGATTCACAACTTCCTAAATTCTATCAAACAAGCAACAGCCAGCCTCAGTAAGATCCCAGTACCCGTACCTCCTGCCAAGTGGCCCCAGGCATGGCACTAGTAGCAGCCAGTCTAGTTAGATTCACAGCTTGGCTTCATAGGAGAATGTCCAAACCCAGCACAAGTAGCAGCCAGTAGCAGCTGTCTCAGATTCCTTTACAGCTCATGCAGGGTGGCCCTGGGCAGAACACAAGCGGAGGTTGACCCTGGCATACAACCAGCCAGGAAACCCCAGGGCCTGCACACCCAGTGGACAGCTATAGAACATGCTTGAGCACTGCCACCCTGCCCCTGCACAGCTGATCCTCCATGGAAAAGGACAGATCAAAACTCCAGAAAAAGAACTTAAACAAAAGGGAGATAAGCAATCTATCAGATACAGAGTTCAAAACACTGTTTATTAGGATGCTCAAGGAAATTAGTGAGGATCTCAACAGCATAAAAAAGATACAATCAGGAACACAGGATTCACTAACTGAAATAAAGAACTATTTACAGGGAAACAAGAATATCATGAATGAAGCTGAGAACAAATCAATAATTTGGAATACAAGGAAACAAAAAACAACCATTCAAAACAAGAAGAAGAAAAAGGAATGAAAAAAAATGAGGATAGTATAAGTAGCCTCTGGGACAATTTCATGAAGTCATTCACACCATGGGGGTGCCAGAAGGAGAAGAGAAAGAGCAAGAAACTGGAAATTTGAAAAAATTATGTAAGAAAACTAATTTGGTGAAGGAAATATACATCCAAGTCTGGGAAGCACAGAGTCCCAAACAAGATGGATGCAAACAGGCCCACTCCAAAGACACATCATAATGAAAATGCCAAAGGTTAAAGATAAAGAGAAACTCTTAAAAGCAGCAAGAGAAAAGAAGTTAGTTACCTGTAGGGGAGTTCCCGTAAGTAAGAATATCAGCTGATTTCTGAAAAGAAACTTTGTAGGGTAGAAGGGACTGGCAAGAAATAGTCAAAGTCATGAAAAGTAGGGACCTACAGCCAAGATTGCTCTACCAAGTAAAACTATCATTTAGGATTGAAGAGCAGAGAAAGAGCTTCCCAGGTAAGAAAAAATGAAAGGAGTTCATCAATACCAAGATACCATTATATGAAATGTTAAAGGGACTTATTTAAGGAAAGGAGAATAAAAACTATGAATAAACGTCTATAAATACATATCTATCAACAACTGAATCTCAAATCAGTCTAAGCAAATAAGAACAGAGACAGAATCATGGATACAGAGAGTGTTCTAATGGTTGCCAGATGGGAGGGAGGGTATGGGGAAATGTGTGAAGTGGTGAGGTAAATAAGAAGGACAAACAGGTCCTTCTTAATAGTCATGGGGATGTAAAGTACAATAGAGGGACTGGTGTAGCTGAAGAACTTATATGCATGACCCATGGACACGAACAATGGTGCGGGAACTGCCTTAGGAGCGGGGCTGCTATGTGGCGGGGGGCAAAAGGAGGAAAATCAGGACAACTATAATAGCATAATCAATAAAATATAATTAAAAATAAAACCAATTAACAATAACAAAGTTTTATGAAGTAATAAGTTATAAAATAATAAATCTGAAAACAGTGATGAAATTGATATAATTTTAGAAATTTATAGAAAGCTAAAATTAGCACAAGAAGAAATAAGTTAATTTAGATAGGTAATCATTGTAGAAGTAGAAATGGTAACCAAAGACCTTTTCCTCAAGGATAACTAAAGACTGACAGGGCTTTAACAAAAGGTTTCTGTCATAGTGTCAAGGAAAAAAATAATATCTGTTAGAATAAACTTGTTTCAGAACAGCTAAGGGCAAGAAACTATTGCACTTATTTTAAAAAATAGAATAACTTTAATTTTGAAGCTGGATAATAGACAAGAAAATAATCATGTCATATTTACATATGAACACATACGTGAAAATCCTAAATAAAATGTTACATATAACATGTATTTAAGCAAAATACAACAAAACCAAATATCATGTTCCAATGGGATTTACTGTAGAAATGCAAGGGTGGTTTACTGTTAGATAAGTCTGTCAGTTAGATTCAGCCTTATCAATATATGACAGAAAAATGTGAGAAAACAGAACATAAAAGAACTTTTATCACATATCAAAACATATCTCAGCCCTGGCTGGTGTGGCTCAGTGGACTAGGCACTGGTCTGTGAACCAAAGGGTCGCCAGTTCCATTCCCACTCGGGGCACACGAGAGGCAAACACACACTGATGTTTCTTTCCCTCTTTTACTCCCTCCCTCCCCCTCTCTAAAACTAAATAAATAAAATCTTAAAAAAAAAACAAAACAAAAAACAGGAATTTCAGAAATCACAGAAACAAACTTTAGATGCCTTCTACAGAACAAAAAAAAAAAAAAAAAAAGGAAGAACAAAAAGCGTTTGCTATCAGTAATACTTTTATAGTGCTTGGAGTCCTGGCTAATGCAATTAGACAAGAGAATAAAACAAAAAAGGAGACAAAACTGAAACTGTTTGCAGATGATACAATAATCTACACAGCAAACCCAACAGATTTAAGAAACCATCAGAATGTACAGATGCATATAAGCATAATAGGTTGCATATATAAGACTAACATAAAAATTAAAGGTTTCTCTGACTCAGCAAAAACTGAGCAGAAAACATTTTTGAGACTAAATATGAATCATATGACCATAAAACAATAAAGTATTTAAAAATTAACCTAATAATAGACAATACCTCTATGAATCAATTTAAACCTTATATAAGAGACCTAATAAGTTGTGAATTAAAAAATGCAGTTTTCATGTATAAATGATTAATTGTAAAAAACCCTCAATTCTTTCCTAAATTTATCATAAAATTAAATGCAGTTCCAATATTTAAAATCCTAGCCAAAGTCTCTGAAAAACTAAACAACTGTACTTTAAAAATTCATGAAGAAGGAAATAAAAAATCCACAAGTAGCTCAGTGGATTTTAAAAAGTTAAAGAAGGAATCACCCAGTAAGAGGTGACCAAATTTATAACATATACTATATTATAAAGCCACAATAATAAAGAGCAGAAAAGAGGAAAAAAGACAGCAAAACAACAATAGACAGTGGTATAGATAGTATTGGTACATGATAGACATGGAATCACAAAGTAGGGAGGGTGAGAATTTGTAATGACTTGGCTAGGATCTACATTCTCTCATATAAATTCTTCCTAGTTTTTGGTCAAAGCTCTATAAATAAAATTATTACTATTTAAAATCTCTATCATATTAGTGATACAATTTAAATGCCTTATTTCCATTCTCCTACATTTATACCATTCCAAAAAAGCCTATTTGAAAAACCTATCCCTTTGAAGCCATTTTCCTCTTTTTTTTTTAAATAGAAAGGTATGTTTCTTCATTGATATTTTTGCTGGACTAGTCTCTTCACTGGTATTTCCTATATAAAATAACTTTTAAAAATATTTAAAATGTTTATTAATTTTTAAAGAAAAAGGGTGGGGGAAGCTGGGGAGTGGTGGGGAGACAGACAGACAGACAGACAGACATTGATTTGTTGTTCCACTTACTTAGGTATTCATTGGTTGATTCTTGTATGTGCCCTAACCAGGAATCAAACCTGCAACCCTGGTGTACTGGGACAATGCTCTTATCAACGGAGCTACTTAGCCAGAGCATAAAAGAACTTTTATATGGAGGAAACAGAAATAGTCATAATAAAAAACAAAAAGAGAGAAAAACAGAAAACATTTTGTTTCAAACCTAACCTTAAAATGTAAAGTAGACTCTAAAGTGATTAGAGGAGGGTGGAGCAACAGCAGGTTTACAGTTCTGAGTACACAAAATACAAGGGATATTCTTGTATTATTAAACCTACTTTTGCCCCATCCTTCATATTAGGGTAATATATTTGAATTACATCAATAATGCTGGGAAAAAGGATATTACAGTATCAACAGATTAAGTGTTTAATTACACTTACTGAAGTATCAGAGTAACCAATCGAATAGCTTCCACAGCAACATCATATTCCTTATCAAGTGTCATTGATACAATGCGATCCTGAAAATAAGTTAGAAATCAAATCAACCACAAGCAGAAAATAAGTCAGGACAGACCTAAGGAAAAATCTTTGGGCAAGTATGTGCAAGACTAAAGATAAATTAAATGGAAAGCCTTAATCCTGAAACTGCAATATCATACCCCTACTCACACAAAGGAAGTATTCGGAATAAATGTTCATAATCTAAAATCTTTCTCATCGACTGGCATTCCCTCATACTAAGACAAATAAAAATTAACTTGCAAAATTAAGATAATTATAAAAAAGCTGTAATAAAGACAATCTTGTTTTAAGCAAGAGAGCTTTCTGTTGGAGGCAATAAATAGGAACTCCCGTTGGTAATGTATTTTGTAAAGCAGAGATTCATTCACCTACTTAATACAGGTTTATCTAAAGAATATGGAATAAAGAATATGAGCTAAACACTTGTGGTGGTAATGTCATTTGCTCAACTAGTTACAACTAGCATTTTTAAAGTGAAAAATAAAATAAGCTAAGCATTCTTGATAGCTTACCTTGAATCGGTTTGTGAATAGCTCCAATTTGGGGAATAATTCTCTATTGGTATATAGACTCTGTAGAGCTTTCAAGCACTTCAGCCTGACTTCTCCTTGCTATAGAAATACAAATAAAAACACAAAAGAAGAGATTAATTCCATACCAAAAGGACTGAAAAGATTTTCAAGTCTTTGTGAAAACTAAATTTTCAGCTTAACATTCAATTACTTCACATTGTAATTCAACATAGGATCAAACTCAGTAATTTTATCAGCTGTGTTTCACTTACATTAATTAAAAATGCACCGAAAACCACTTAGATACTTGAAAGTAACCTACATCCTTTTCAAACATCTACCAACTCTGATTCAACATGGAGTATTATCCACCTTATACTGTGGCACTTTGAGAGTTTTTAACCTATTATTTCAGTTTCAGGGGTATTCCAATTTACATTCACATAACTACTGAATAATCCTGCAGAAAAATCTCATTTTATACTTTAAAGGTCATCATTTATTCATTTAACAAATATTTATTGAATGCCTTTTACAATTCAGAAAGAGTTGTTAGAAAACAGATAAACAGCACAATGTTTAAAACAGGCAAAATGAAACAGTAAAGAGTCCCAGGGATCCTATTTCCTAGTGCATTATCTTTAATCAAGTTATTAATTTGGAGTAGATGATGGTGATCAACGTGTATTCAGAATCATCTACAAATTTAGCCCACTCTCTCAGAAGATTCAAAGAAATAATGGAAAAAAAATACAATAAAGATTAAATTTAAAAAAAGGTTCAAAGACGGAAGTTTCTATTTTCAAAAAGCAGCAATGTGCTGTAACAGTAGGAGTCCTACTAGTAGGAGTAGGAGTTTTGGAGTCAGACAAAACTAGATTTTATTTCCTATTCTATAGCTTAACTACAGCAAGGGTATTACTGTATTTTGCCATGTATGCGCTGCATGCATAAACACACTCATGTTTTGTGTGCATTATACATAGAATTATTATGTCCATAGTATGTAATAATTATACCCATGTATAATGTGCATCCTTATTTTCCCCCAAAAAATTTGGGCAAAAAGAGCACATTATACATGGCAAAATATGGTAATCACTCTAATATTCTCATTTACAAAATGTTGATACCAACTTCATAAGGTTGTTATAAGGATTAAATGCTGGGGTATGCTGGTAAAAGTTTAAACAACCAGCTCTGGGGATGGGGCCCTGAATTGTTGCATTTGCAGATTTCTGTGATGTAAATAATCACGCCATGGTCAATTTCAAGCTACCAATGAGATGTTATTCGTGAAGGATGTGCATAATCACTCTCTTGCAAGCTGATTCAAGGTAACTCTAGCATATCACTGAAGTAGATGTTTGCTGGTTAAAATCTCTAGCACACAGGAGGTACCTGAAACACCAGTAGTAGATGCTGTTACTGCCCCTGGTAGATCCCCATATAGGAGCCTAATCTTCCCCTTTCCTCCAGTGTTGATTGCTAATGGTTCATATCTATACCCCTCTGTAGAGAACTGGCCACAGCTGAAAAAACGCACTAGGCACAGAGATTCCTGGGAGATTATGCTCCCCTTCTCTCCTGTCCACACCCTTTCTCTCCTCCAGGCTGAGGCCCACAGAGGAATGACATAGAATAAAAAGGCACAACCTCCTCGTCTCAGGGCAGGACAATTTCTGAGGTGCAATTTATCCTTCAAATCTCCTAGTGCGATCTTGTTGAGATAAAACTTATAAATCACATTTCAGTTAGTGTTTCCTGCTTTATCCTATTTTCCTCATTTTCTCACAGGCTTCTAAGAGTACAAACCTCAAAGTACCACTAGCACAGAAATTTCTGACTCAGGCTTGGCTTCTAAGCTTGTGAGCCAAACAGTTTGTACTTAGATGGTGGTCCCAGGAAGCTGGTCAATGATTGGATTCTGGGGTTGGATCACTTGAAAGATGAATTACTATGAAGAAGGACCCAGTTATTGAATAGAAGCCATTTTCTAGTTCACCTGTGGGTGAAAGGGGACATGCCTAGAATCTGAAGGAGCAGGATAAGTAAGAACTATGGAATTGCATGGCTAGGCATCACTGGTATCCTAAAGAAGGAAAATGACAAGTTAATCACCAATTTAAAGCAAACGCTGCCTCTCTGGCAACATTTAAAGAGACACATATCTCTTGCAGATAAAGAGTTGATGATTATATTGAAGACGAGGCCCAGGACTCAATTTTCAGGGTAGTAGAATTTAAGGAGAGTTTGCATCCCAGGCCAAGTCTCCCATGCCAAAGCCAGGACCATATAGGAAAGAGATGGGAGTCTAAAGAATATCTCCGTAGATGCAGCTGAGAACCTTTAACTCCAAGTTTCCCATGAACTCATGGGCCTGAAAATAAAGCTCATATTCCTTTTTCGAGGACAGTATGCCCTGCCTTAAGGACAATGTCTGTCGCCCTCTGCATGATCTACATGTACCTCCCCTAGCAGCTATCAGACTAAGATCAAATCTCGGCCTGGCCCAAATGGAAAGTATTCTGTCTGCTAAGGGAGGAAGATTATATGCTCTAAATGCTAAAGGAATGGGCCAATCTGAAGCAGAAAAAAAACAAGAGAATATGCTAGGGACTGGATGCTGGGGGTAATGGACCAGAGAGTAGAAATAAAAAAATAGAGGAGTTTTTGGCATTTAAGGCCCTGTTAAAGGTACCTGGAAATGGCCCAACATATTGTTGGATCGCTTTTGGAAAAGGCAATGGTGCATATTAAATGCAACAGATGCCAGAATTGTGGCAGACTATGAAAGAAGAAATTTAAAGACACAGGAAAGTAAGCATGCCAGAGAGGATCTATTATATGAGCTCAGAAGACCCAACAGTTGAGTATGTTTTTCAGGAGGGCCCACAGAATACTTTGTTTACCAAAGCAATAAGAAAAAGACTTCTGATAGAGGCATAGGCATTACTTAGACGCTCTATAGTGGCTGTGTTTTATAGGCTAGGGCTGAGTGTAGATGAACAGAACTTAGCTTCCAATAGCCAAGAGATGATAAGGTCACACACAATAGAGACTATTAGATGCAAGGGGGACAGAATCCAGGGGTGGGCAAAAGTAGGTTTATGGTTGCAATACAAATAAATGGTACAATAATTAATAAATAATACATGACAAACTGTTTCACACACTTACAACTGTAAACCTACTTTTGCCCACCCCGTAACTGCCATGGACAGCAAGGCTGAAGGATAGCCCATGGGGATCTATGGAGATGCTTCATAGGACGTGGTATTCCTGAAGGCAAAACAGGCGGTAAACCAACAAAAGTGTTACATAACCACAAGAGAGCAACAACGGATGAACAAAAGTCTAAAGATAGCCGTCTCAATATAAAATAACAACCCCAGATGTAAGCACGTAAGCAGTTTCCTTACTTGTCTCCAACTATATACTTAAAAAAAAAGCCAAAAAGATGAAATTACTCCATCTATCCAAGTTCACACAGCAAATTACAGGTAGAGCAAAGACATCAATCAAGTTTTATCTTCACCTTGTCCAGTGATGCCTCCCAATACCTTTCCTCCCAAATCCTGGTTCTTCACCTATTGCATGCCCTGTCTATATTATAGGCACTTAACAAGTAAGTGAAGTGCTAGCCATAAAGGTGCCTTAAAAAACTGTAAACTAACCTAACTAGGTGAAAACTTCAGTTGCCTTTTTGGTAACTGCTCAACTATCCTCTGAAGATATTTCTATTATAGTACCTGAATGCTTTGTTTTTCCATCACACAAAATTTTATTAGATTCTGAATGCTGCTTTGCACAGTGCCTAATGCATAGTCACTACTAAATAATTATTTTTTGAATGTATAATTACATAAATATATGAAAACAAAAAAGAAACATAAAAGTAAAGTGAGTTTTTGAGGGAGAGGGCTGTATAATATTTGTAAGAGATTCATTCACCTACCGACAATTTTGCAAAATTATCTTTGAAGAAAAATGTTATGACCTATAAAAAGTATTGGGAAGCCTAATGACACAATTTCATAATGAGTTGTACTTTTATTTTAATTTTTAAAAAGATTTATTTATTTGCAGAGAGAGGAGATGGGGGTGGGAAAGAGAGGGAGAGAAACATCGATGTGAGAAACATTATTGGGCTGCCTCTCACATGCTCCCAACCAGGGACCTGGCCTGCAACCCAGGCATGTGCCCTAACTGGGAATCGAACCAGCAACCTTTTTGTTCATAGGCAGGCGCTCAATCCACTGAGCCACATTAGCCAGAGCATGAGTTGTTCTTTTAAATTCATGCTTCAGGAAGAAAATGCTGATTGGATATTCAGTGGGAATACTTTGAAAGAGTTAAAGTAAACCAAATTCAGGTGTCTTGTCAAGGAGAGGGGTGTTTATATATGGCAGAGGTGAAGGGAGTAGAAAGAAATGTCTTTTTTCTTCCAGTTTTATTGAAACATAATAGAAAAAAAAAACTTCTCTTTGATGACTCTGGACATATGCATACATGCATGATACTGTTATAATTAAGTCAGCGAACATATCCATCACTTCCAAAAATTTCTTGCATCTTTTCATTTTTATGTGCTAAGAAGAAAAGGCTTAATCTCAAGAGGGACACTACTATGTAGTGCTAGGAAAAGCAGTCTTGCAGCAAGATTGGCCTCCACTTGGCCACATTAAGAATGGGGCTTGGGGCACTCCTCCTCTTGGGACAATGTCAGGGCCTTTCTTCCACCTCTTCTTCCCCTGAGGCGTGTTACCTTTGCCTTTCTCCTAAGCTCCAAGGGCCCTTTATCTGCTTCTGTAGTGTGCTTCCTGAGTCTACACAGCCCAGCTGGCTTACTTTTACTACCTGTTTAATGCTGTAAATAACTTGTCTTATCATTTTAAATAAATAAATAAATGGATGGGTGGATAGGTAGAGAGGTGGGCCTTGGGCTTGGAACACTTCCTTACCAAGAGAGAGAGTCACCAATAACAAAACATACCACAGCATGGTAGAAACTAAAAGTCTAGTTAGCCATGCCCAGCAGGTTCAGTGTGGCTTGGCTGGTTGGAGCGTTGCTCCGCTCACAGAAAGGTTACAGTTCG